AATTAGGTCAAATTCATGAAAATTGACCTAAACATCACTTCGAATAGAAGCTGGCCGATGTCAATTATCCAAGAGATCATCCAGGACGATCTTGCGATCGTCCAGGCCGATGTGATCATGCAATCAAACCTTAATTGCTTTCCTTAATTACTATATTAATTACAAGCTAATCCATATTAACTCAGAAAGTCTTTAATGAGAGAAAGTCTAGTGAAAGAAAGTCTGAGAATTTGAAAAGATCACATTGATCTTTTTCAAATTTTTTCCGTTCCGTTGATTTCACGACCATTTTGGAAAGTTGTTTTCCTCCTTCTCGCCATCGGTCGGATAACCAACGATGGAGGGAAGGCGTCTGGCTTCGTCGGAGGCCTAGGTGAATATTAAAAGATGCATCAATGTTACTGTACGACCTTCGTCGGAGGTGTTTAATGGAGGTCAGCTATCTGCAGCAATTTTTAGTAGCCAGTCAAAAGAGAAACCTTTGGTTATCAAGGAAGGAGGGTTGTTGATCAACAAAGTTAAACCATTTGTATTGGGAAAAGGTAAAGATGTTATCAGGGAAGATGTGGTTTTAAGCCTGAAGAAGCTTTTATCAGCAGTTGCTCGTAATGAAGTGAAGGAGAATCTGAACTCTAAAGCTTCCTTGACTGCAGGAAGGAAGAATTTCTTAGATAAAGAATTCAAATCAATTTCTCTTCCGTCTTCTCCAATTGTATGCAATATCGTAGAACAAGCTCCGTTTATAGGAGATAAGCTTTGTGTGGACAAGGTGATTGAAATAGCTCTTATTTTATACAAACAACCTTTATCATCCAGGATGATATAAATATCGTCCTGGCCAATCAGCATAAATTTTACTCAATCAGCCTGATCAGTTTAGGATGATCAGAAGACTTTTAGTTATATCATCTAGGATGATATAATATTGTCCTAGACGATTAGTACAATTTCTTGAATATCATTTAGACTATAGCTCTAAAAGGATGTCTGGACGATAAAAAAATAGCTTGATCGTCTAGGCCGATCTCATGATCATCCTGGACGATTAGGTCAAATTCATGAAAATTGACCTAAACATCACTTCGAATAGAAGCTGGCCGATGTCAATTATCCAAGAGATCATCCAGGACGATCCTGCGATCGTCCAGGTCGATGTGATCATGCAATCAAATCTTAATTGCTTTCCTTAATTACAATATTAATTACAAGCTAATCCATTTTAACTCAAAAAGTCTTTAGTGAGAGAAAGTCTAGTGAGAGAAAGTCTGAGAATTTGAAAAGATCTCATTGATCTTTTTCAAATTTTTTCTGTTCCGTTGATTTCGCGACCATTTTGGAAAGTCATTTTCAGCCTTCTCGCCATCGGTCGGATAACCAACGATGGAGGGAAGGCATCTGGCTTCGTCGGAGGCCTGGGTGAATATCAGAAGATGCATCAATGTTCCTGTACGACCTTCGTCGGAGGTGTTTAATGGAGGTCAGCTATCTGCAGCAATTTTTAGTAGCAAGTCAAAAGAGAAACCTTTGATTATCAAGGAAGGAGGGTTGTTGATCAACAAAGTTAAACCATTTGTATTGGGAAAAGGTAAAGATGTTATCAGGGAAGATGTGGTTTTAAGCTTGAAGAAGCTTTTATCAGCAGCTGCTCGTAATGAAGTGGAGGAGAATCTGAACTCTAAAGCTTCCTTGACTGCAGGAAGGAAGAATTTCTTAGATAAAGAATTCAAATAAATTTCTCTTCCGTCTTCTCCAATTGTATGCAATATCGTAGAACAAGCTCTGTTTATAGGAGATAAGCTTTTTGTGGACAAGGTGATTGAAGAATTTCCTCTGCTAGTTACAACAAATGTGGAAAAATAGAAGAATAAAGAAGATTGTGTTGGCATTCCGTTAGAGGTTTGTGAAAGGAGGGAGTTATCTTCGGTATGGACGAAGAAACAAAATATAAAAGTGGACAATCTAGATCTCGGTTCCTTTCTTTCTGATGATGGAGATTCTGTTCTGGTTCATGCAGAAAATGAAAGTAATAATGTTAAGCAGCTGAATTGTGCTCTAGTGGTGAAAGTGTTTGGGGACAACTTTATGTTCTCAATAGTTTGTATGGAATTAAGGAGGCAGTGGAGTAAAATCGGGAAGTTTCATATCACTGGTTTGGGCACAGGATGGGTACTATGTTCATTTGAAAATCCAGCAGCTATGGAAGAAGTCTTAACTAGAGGTCCATGGTGTTGCGGATCTATGGCTTATGATTTTGATGATAGAAAACATTCTTTTTTCTCTACAACTGCCTTATCTACTGATATTTCAGGTTCACACGATCGGACTGCAATTTGGAATCAACCCAAGATTGGATAGACTAGGTCTGAGTCAGTTTATATCTTTTTTCCTTTCTTGAGTCTATTGTATTTGGTGTGGCACCTGATGATTTGTAACTTAGAAGATTTTCTGTTGGTCCCTAAATATTTCTATTTTTGGTAACATCGTTCGGGATGATATTTATTTCGTCCTGGATGATCTATCCAAAAGTAGAGACCCTAATTAGGGCATCCTCATTAAAGTAGCCGTCATTATGCAAAACACATCGTCTGGGATGATTTTGTATCGGTCAGGACGATAGGCTCAATTCAGAAAGAATCTGTCACCATATCTATTTAGAAATAACCTATTTTTGGACATCGTCCAGGTGGATCGTCCAGGACTATAAAATATCGTCCAGGACGATCCAGGTCAATTTTACCAAAATTTCTCTGAAATTTAAGTAAAGAAATTATGACTTGATTTCATGATCAAATCGGCCTGGACGATCGCCAGATCGTCCTGGCCGATATGCTGGACGATTGGTCATCGGATAGCTATTTTTCAGGGCGATGTCGAGGACGATATTCCATAATTTGTACTGATCATCCAGGATGATATATTATCATCCTGGATGATATGACCAAACTTCTTTTGATCGTCTCAAATCATCCCAGCTGATTGGGCTTAAATTGTACTGATCATACAGGATGATATTAGTATCATCCTGGACGATAAAGTCGGCAACTTGCATCAATGAGCTCATTTTGAGATCTTTTATTTAAGCTATGACATGACACTTGGTAAGATGTCTTTGGCAGCCATTGTAGCTTCGTTCATTTGGGAGAAACTTGAAGAGAAAGCTTGAAAGGGAGTAAGGAAAGGGTGGAGTTTGAGAGAGGGAGAAGATCTTGTGAAGGGGGACTCAAGGGAATGTGGAGGGGGTTCCATACGGTTCCTCCGGCAAGCTCGCACCTGAATACGGATTCAAGGCTTGTCTCGAGGGAAGTTCACCAAAAAAGAAGATCTCTTTGGTGTCAAAAGACGCAACGACTCCGCCGCACCAGGGAAGGTGGAAGTGATTTTGTAAGAGCTTCTCTGCCTAGCTGTGGGGGCTAAAGGAGAGACACTTGTTTTAGTGCAATACTTGGAGGGTGCCTCCAAGAAGTGGATGTAGGTCAAGGTTTGATCGAACCACTATAAATCCGGTGTGTTCTTTCTTATTATTGCTTCCGCATTTTTTTCTTCCGCACTTTGATTTCTGTGGTGATTTTGGTTTGAGTTTTATCTTTGATTTTAAAGTTATCCAATTCACCTCTCTCTTTCTTAGCCTTGGGCTAGTTCATGAGGGCTTAACATCCCTAACTAACTTTCAAGTGGTATCATAGCACTTTCTAGTATCATCTGAGCACTTTCACATGGTATGTTAGGGGCCATGTGGTGGGTTTGGATAAATGGTTGGCTCCAACTTCATTAAAGGGTATTTCAGCTCGCTTATGGATAAGGTTACCAAACTTACACTTACAATGTTGGGATGACATCAACATTTGTAGAATAGCATCTAAAGTAGGTAAGCCATACTTACTTGATGGAAACATGTTCCAATGGGGAAGAAGAGAATATGCTAGAGTTTGCATTCGAGTTCCCTTGAATGAGAAACTTCCATTTTGAGTTTGGGTGGAGGGATTATCTGAAAAAAATTTCCAGAAAATTGAATATGAAGATATTGCTAAATTATGTTATAAATGTGGAAGAATAGGTCATTCGTTAACTTAATGCAAGGAGTACAAGAAGAAGGATGTGAAATGTAGTAGAGATCCTAATTCAATAGGCATGGATGGGAAACTTTCAAATTCAATGGTAGCAGGATGTTCAAATCATGAAGAAAAAGAATCTAAATATGGGTCGTGGCATCAAGTAAACTATAGAAGGAAGGGAAGGAGATATGGAATTATTGAAAGGCATAAACAAATTACTAAATAAGTTTTGGTTCCCAAAAAAAACTCTAAAATGGTTGAGAAAAAAGAAACTATTCCAGATAAAGTTTATAATCCAGCTCAGGAAGAACCATTGTAAATTAAGAAAGATCTGGAGCAGCATGTTGAAGTCTTGGTCAGAGCAGAAGTTAATGAATCTCAACCTGAATTGGCTCAGGTTTTAGCTCCAAATTTTATTGTTCCTACAATAAACAAATTTGGTATTTTATCTGATATGGAAAACAATAATTTGAATGGCTATGTGGAAGAGTTGCATAATAAAGAAGTTGAAGAAGGCAAAATTATAGAACTGGAACAAGCTGTTATTGAAAGCAGTTAAATAAAAGATCAGGAGCTGAAGGCTTTTTCTGAAGATTCTAGCAAGGGTGCTTCCCGGGAGACGAAAGAAGTGGAATTCTCTTCTTCATGCAAGAAAGGCAAATTACTTAAAGAGCTGAAATCCTTGGGATCAGGTAACATTGTTAATTACAACAGGAAAATGGAGGTTGGTAGAAGTAAAAAAGGTGGGGGCCCTTCCCCATTTATTAAACAAAGACTTCATTAGCTTTTTGGAATTGTTGAGGGGCCAAGAAGAGATAGGCTGCTCTATATCTCAAGGAATTTGTTAGAGACAATGATGTTTTATTTGTGGGACTAGTTGAAACTAAAGTTAGTTCACTGGATAATCTACATATTTTGGGTTATCTGAGAGATAAATGGGAATCTTATATGGTTCCTTCTGAAGGACTTTCGGGAGGCGTCTTAGTTATTTGGAGGAAGGATTTGGCATCATTTTCTATGTTGGATGTTTCTTCTCAAGTTATTACTGGAAATCTGGAAGTTATAAATAGAGGAAGTTCGCTTGTCTCCACGGTTTATGAGAGCAGAAATATGCTGGATAGGAAGTCTTTATGGGAGAATTTGGAGAAGTTGGATGCTGGTTTTAAACTGACTGTCATAGGGGAAGACTTCAACTATATATTGTCTCAGGAGGAGAAGAGAGGAGGTAAGAAATTTGTATTTTCTCAAGGAGCAAAAGATATGAAGATGTTTATGAGCAATAATGACTTTCATGAAGTTGGGTTTATAGGACCCAAATTTACTTGGTGCAACAACAAATCTGGAGGAGGCCACATCTTAGAAAGACTTGATATATGTCTTATAAACTCTAATGCAATGAATGCTATTCAGTTAGCCTTGGTGAAGCATTTGTCACGCATTGCGTCAGATCATTGCCCAATCATTTTGGAGGTGTTCAAACCAGTGAAGTCACATTACAAAGATATATGTTTTGAAGATGTATGGGTACCTTTCCATAGAGCTGATGCAATTGTAGAGAAATATTAGAAGAAGGTTAGTGAAAGTGATCCAGCAACCTCTTTGAACTTGAAGTTTAAAAGAACTCTAAAGGCTCATTTTTATTGGAGCAAGGCTAAATTCAAAATTCAAAATGTATTAAGAGACTCATTGAAAAAAGAAATCTTTGATCTTCAATTAGAAGAGGCTGAAGGAATGCTTAATGAGACAAAATTGCTAGTTCTCATATCTAAAGTCAATAAAATGAATTGTACTTTGGCCAGGCTAAATATTTGGTGGAAATAAAGAGCTAAAGTGAGGTGGTTGGAGGAGGGAGATGCAAATTCTTCTTTCTTTCACTCATTTGCAAATGCTAGAAGAAGTTCTAACTGGATTAAACATATTACAAATGGAAATGGAGCATTGACGGATCAACAAACTGAAATTGAAACAATCTTCTCATAATTTTTTAGATCAAAATGGAGACATAGGGATTGCTTATTGGAGGGCTGGCCGAAACCATTTGCTGTCTTGGAGGTGGATGATCAACTTAAGCTAGATGTTGAATTTACAAAGGAAGAACTTCAGATGGTGGTGAACAACTTGGGTAAGAATGTATCTCCGGGCCTCGACGGGATTACCTTCTCTTTTATTAAATGCTTTAGGAAGACTATTCAACAAGATGTCTGGAATGCCATTGCTAATTTTTTCAAATCAAGATCTATGAATCATAATTGGAAGGAGACGTTGATAGTATTAATTCCTAAATTGCAAAATCCAATCTTCCCAACAAACTTCCATCCAATTAGCCTTTATATGTCTACTTATAAATTAGTAGCAAATATGTTGCTTAACATATTGGAGATGGTGATTCACAAAGTGATTTCTAGTGATCAAGTGGCTTTTCTAAAAGGGAGATCTATGTCGGATCATGTTCTTTTGGCTCAAGAGGTCATCAATAAGATCCGACATTCAAAAGCAAGTAAAGGTTTTTTGGCAATCAAAGTAGACATGGAGCAAGCATATGACAGCATGGGTTGGCAAGCTTTGAGGTAAGTTCTTATCCATTTTAATTTCCCTAGAAAATTTTTTGATTTGATTATGAATTTCATTTCAAATCCAAAATTTAGTATTTTGATCAATGGGGAAAAATTGAATTAGATTGAAGCTAGGAGTGGATTTTGACAAGGATGACCCCTATCTCCTTTTCTATTTATATTGTGCTCCCAAATACTATCTGATGCTTTTTGTCAAAGTGGAAGGAATATTGGCATCCAAATTGATTCTAAAGCTCCTAGTGTTTCTCATTTTCTTTATGCCGACGATAGTTTGGTTTTTTCTGAAGCAAACTTGAAAAAGATTAAAAAGGTGAAGAATATTTTGAATAACTAGTGTAAATGGATTGGACAAAAAGTTAATCACAATAAATCTATGATGATGTTCGGGAAAATAGTCAACAGAAGAAGGAAAATAGAGATTGGAGAAGTTTTGAAGTTCAAATCAATTAAAGAAATGAACTGCCTTGGCATAAAGCTTACTCTTAGAAGGATGGTGAAATCATATTTTAATAATCTTATGGAAGTAGCCATGAATAAATTAAAATTTTGGGGGAAAAATTTTATCTCTTTGGAAGGAAAAATGGTTTTGATCAAATCAGCTTTTTTATCACTTCCTATCTTTTTATCAACTCTATCCTTGGTACCTTTGGGAGTCCTAAAAGAGTTTGATAAAATGTGTAGATCTTTCTTGTGGAATAAGAAGAATGGTAATTTGGGTATTCATTATGTATACTGGAAGAAGCTATGCCAACCAAAGCAAAAAGGAGGAAGAGGGCTTTTTTTTTATGTTGCTAAAATGGGACACCTTAGAACCAAATTTGCTTTGGAATTTTCTACGAAACAGGACTCTTTTCTCAATTGTGTTCTAAGAGCTAGATATGGAGAAGACTTATGTAAGAATCAAGGAAAGAAAGGAACCTCTTCAACATGGAAAATTTAATGCGGTGGAGCTAAATATCTTACTAATATAGTAAGATGGAAAATCTCTAATGGGAAATCAGTTGACTTGATGCATGATACCTGGATACTGGACAAGAGTATCTCAAAATGGCCTACATTTGTAAGAAACAAGGAGATCGACAATTATGGCCTGGACTTCTTCATCTCGGATGTTAAATGGATCAAGGATCATCTCCAAATATTTTTTGGTGAACAGCTGATTGAAACCATTTCAAAAATTCCAATTTATTTGGATCAAGGTGCATATCAAATGGAAGTGAAGTGGAAAGCTTCAGGGCGGTCCATAGCAGCAATCTCGCAAGATTCAATTCAGAAGGATGAGGCCGACATCAATTTTTGGAAATGGTTGAAGAATGTTAAACTAAGGCCAAAGGTTGAATTATTTTGGTGGAGACTACACAATGAGGCTGTTCCAAGTAATTCATTCCTTTTTCATAGAAAATTAACTCAGTATATAGGATGTCCGAGAGGATGTGATCAAGAGGAGAATAATGCTGCAGTTTGTGGAAAATTAAAAAAAGCAATAACATGGTTAAATAGATGGGGATTTTAGGTTCCTCAATTTGAAAGTTATATTGAATGCTTAGAAGCACTGAAAAGTATGTCTAACAAAAATCAGATCCTTGTAAACATTTACTGCTCTGCGGTTTTTCTGGTATGGAAGAGTAGAAATTTGTTGATTTATGAAAGGAGAAGACTCAGATATACTTGTTGCAGCTAACTCAATTTCTATGGATGTTGTATCTCCTACAATCAACATCCATTCGAACAACTGGGATGTCAATCAGCGTAAGCTGTTTTCTTCTTGGCGTCCTCCTCCACTCGGATGGTTAAAGATCAATGTGGATGCATCCTTATGCAACAATTATATGGCCGGAACTGCTGGAGTTTGTAGATACGATAAAGGTAGAATGTTACTTGCATTTGGTACTCAACATTTGCAATGGGATATTGGCCATTTGGAACTACAAGCGGTATACATGTTAAAAGATTTTTATACAAGATTGGATGGTGGAAGCACAAGATGTTATTATTGAAGGAGATAACTATAACATCATCAAGAGTCTTCAACAAACTTTTAAAAGATTCAAGAATAAAGATCTCTTTAAAGATGGCCTATCCTTCATAAGAGAATTCAATCAAGTTTCTTTTAGTTTTATCACTAGAAATTGTAATAAATTAGCAGATTGTGGCGCTAATTTTGCTTTGAGAATGAGCTTTATTTGTCAAGATACTTCTAACATTGAGATCTCTCCATTCTTGTATATTTTGAAGGAAGATTTCAATTTGTTAGATGGTATTAAGTAGTTTCTAATAACTTTTTTTTCCTTTTCTAATGTATTGATGCATTTCTCCTAAAAAAAATAGCATATTAATTTAGGCAGAATTATGCTGCATCGTTTAGGATGATGTCCTGGATGATGTCAAAAATAAATAATACATAAATAGATCTGGCGGCAGATTCTTTCTGATTTAAGCCTATCATTACGGCCGATACGAATATCGTCCAAGACGATGTGCTTAATAACGACTGCCTTAACCAGGATGCCCTAATTAGGGTTTTTATTTTTAGCTGATCATCCAAGATAATTTAAGGATTGTCCCGGACGATGTGATCAAAATAGAGAACTCTAATCAACAGACAAAAATTTTCCCCCATGTGTGTATGTGCAAGGTTACTTAGCATCATGAACCACACTGTTTATAATAGACTCAAGAAAGGAAAAATTACAAACTAACTCAGACCTAATCTATCCAATCTTGAGCTGGCTTAAGTTGCATTCGATCTTGTGGATCTGAAAAGTTAGTAGGCAAGGATATCGTAGAAAATCATGAATGTTTGCTATCATCAAAATTCTAATGTATAAAATTAGATTTGCAACACCATTGTATGGGATGGGATCACCTAATGTTAAACTCTTGATGTCATTTGTGAGATGAGATGTAGCACCGGAGTCTAGATACCAATTTGGGTTGAAGTTGTTATTGGTGGCCTTTAGAGTTGTGTTGGCTTTTTGTTATAGTTTATATTGAATTTGTGCCAACAGATTATGGCAGAATGTCCCTTTTAGTTAAATATTTGGCATATAGGTGCTGATTGAGTTGTTGATTGAGTATTCTGAGTTATGAAATGGACTCATCCTCTTCTTCCTCTGCCTCTGGTGGAGTATAATGTTGTATTTTGATCTGAGAGATTGTGTTGTCTATCTACTTCAGCATTGAGATTGATTTATTTACTTAAAAAGAATGCATATAGATCATCAAGACTAATTGGTTGCACCATGGTGCGATTTGTGCTTTTAAATGATTGGCATGTTGGGGGTAATTCATTCAATGTGTATAGAAGTATATCTTCTTTGTCAATGTTAGCACTTGCACTTACAATCTCGTCATCGAGAATCTTGATTTCATTAAGATATTCAGCCATGGATTTTTGTTTCATTGAAACATTATGTTATTCATTTTTGAGTTGTATAACTCTAGATCTATTGGAGGCTTGTAACCTTCTTCCAATTATAGTCCAAATAGTAGTAGATGAGTCTAAATGAAGTACATAGGGTAAGATTGATGAGGTTATTGTGGAACAAATGGTTGATGCTAAGTTCTGATCAATCAGAACCAATTCTATGTGTTTGGGATTGACGGTGGTTAATCCGTCTGAGGCTTGTTGCAGACGGGGTTGTGGAGAGATATTGGGGTCTATAAAATTGGTCAAGCCATTTGCTCTTAGTAATTTGGTTACTTGGGATTTCCATATTGAATAATTGTCATTCAATAATTAGGTGGGTACAATTGTTTTGATGTTTGAAATAAACAATTTCAATGATGCGGGTATAGCACAGGATTCTGTGGGTGGGTCTGTTACTGGATTTCGAATTTGGGAAGAGGGCGATTGGGCCATGAGAGGATTTTAGATGACTTACCTCTCAGTTTGATTTGCTCCAAGAATTGAGAGCTCTCAGTTCTATCTGCTCCAAGAACCGGTCTCTAATACCATGAAGAAACGACAAAGTTGAAATAGAAGGATGATAGAGGATAATTATGGGAAAATAGGATTGTATTAAAGTCTCATTGCATTTGTCAATGATTCTTACGTATTTTTTGATATTTATAGCCTTGTGATGTATACACATATGGTTGTGATTCATTGTGTTTGTTATATGTGAATGGTCATGATTTAATATTCGTGTGAGCTGTGGCTGAACTCTTCTCCATGTGAGCTTTGGCGAAACTCGTCTCTGTGTGATTTAAGGTCATGTGTTATGTTATGTTGTGGCGGTTCTCATCTATTCTTTTTAGTAGCCCATGAATTGATTAAAATATTCTCGAGGGATATTGCATTTTGTCTTTATGCTTAATATTTTCACAATGATAGATAAATCTTAGTGAGTAGTGCACCTATCCCAAATTGGTTGCTGGCAGCACACAATAAATCATAAAAGTTTTGTGCTTTCATATTTGGAGACTCTTCGATATATTATCGAAATTGTGGCCAATTGCATCAAAAACCAAATCTCCATACATTCTAATATTTTTCTTCCTCAACTATATTAGAACTTATTGACGGGCTGCATTGAGAGTCAAAATGCGGCTTGTACTCATCATGTGAAGTCTAAGATCAATATTTTGGCATAAATCCTCTATGATATAGATCAACAATAACTTTACTGTAAATTAAAAAGAAGTAAAACACACAATTGTCTATGGTTTGTTAGGGGAGACTCTATGGGATATGTTAAAGTGGCCTGTTCACATGGATTTTTAAAATCTTAATGCATGAATTTTTTTATTTTAGAGAGAGTGATGATTAATGTGATGGAAATTTTTGTGTACGTGAGATTATTGAGATACATAAAAATGAAGACTAATCCCACGTAGATAGAGAACAACAAGTCTAGAGGCAATCTCCAAGGTTAAAATAATAACTAGGTTTTATCTATTGAGATAGAAAATATTATTGTTAACTTAATATTTACAGCCTCAAATAATTAGAAAATAAATTAGAATTTTTTTCAAAAAATGAAAATACTTTGAATATAACAAAAAAATTACTCGAGTGATTTTTTAATAAAAAAAACTTCAGAATATCTTCATAAAAATTATACTAAGATGATCTTGAATATTATTAAATTATTATAAAATTAAGACATTTCTTTTTTCTTTCTTCTTATCCGGTTGATTTGAGAAAAGAAATAGAACCTTCCAGATAGAAGAAAAATTTCCTCAATTTTTTTTCTTAAAAAAAAACTTATATATTATTATGTAGATAAAAATTATACACTAGAGCCAACTAGGTTTTCAGAGTATCCAAGAGGATTCTAGGTGATGGCACTACGTTTAGGTGGAGACTACTACTATTTGAGATTTTGGGCTAATGCTGAAAAAGGTTTGAGGGAATTTTTTTTTATTTTTGTTTTTTGAAAAATATTTAAATTTAAAATTATTTAAAAAAAATTGAAAGCTGTATTATTTATAAACTATGGAAATATAATATATTAGTTTTCTTGATACATTAGTGAGTTCAGAAAAAAATTAAACTGAATACTTCATAAGTTTATTATATCCTAATACCATATGAAGCAGTTCATAAGCATGATTTTTGCTCAGACTATCCAATTTGATAAAAATTTCGTCAGCACATTGATCTGATAAGCTTGGGAAGACAATGAGCCTTAACATGGAAAGGAAGCCCAGACCATTTGTTATCAAAGCTTTCAGAAACCACTTTGTCTGTGGTTCTAGGAGTGAAATAATTACCTCATTTGCATTTCATCACTGACAAGTAGGTTGAGCAACTCAGAAAGGTCAATTTTCTGCATAGAAATGAAAAATGTAAACCAAGGTTATGACAAGAATGGGACGCAAGATATTCCCAATATTAAAACATATGGGCGAGTAAGGTTCAGCTACCTCCAAGTATTCAGAGTTTAGGTCGTCGATTCAGCTGGTGCGAGACCACGGATTTTGACATCATAGTAGACTTCTTCGACTCTTCGCAAATCATATTTCATGCCTATTATAGATATTTATGAGAAGGCGTTGAATGATCCAGTTATAGCAACATTATTTCATCGGAGTAAATGTTAAAAAAAAAAAGAGAGAGAGAGAGAGAATAAAGGTGGTTAAATTGAAGAAAAATCTTGAAGACCCACCCACCATCAAATTTCTTACGCAAGAAGTCGTTGCGAAGGTTAAGCATCCGAAAAGCAGAGTGCAGCTCTGTTAAAAATTTTAGCACATTTCTGGGACAGTCATAGTCCCCAGCAGTAACTTGATTTACCACGTACCTGGGCTGAAAAAAGGCATGTAAATACATGTTTGTATAACTGATTGAGCAAAACGCCGAGAAATATTGTCAATAAAACTCAAAACAAGGCATATGAGAAATTATGTAGTTTAATAAGATTATCTGACAAAAAAACATCCTCTATAGCTCAAAAGAGTGCATCACAATATTCTCCAAATTCAAAAAATACTAGAGGTAATTAAACAGGAACTATTTGCAACTATGACTTGGACCTTCTATTGTGACCACGTACTTTGTCATCATTGATCTTTTATAATCATTGTGCTCTTCCTTTATCCTTAAAATCCATTTGTTTTGCAACGCTCTCTTATTATTTGATGAAGTTAATATCCAAATATTATTTTTATACAAGCCATCTTTTTCATTGTCAATTTGCAATTGACAGTTTATAATTACATTACTTCAAAATTCATAATTTCCATTACTTCTTCTAAACGCTTGAATTACACAACATCAATTAACAATAAAAATAGAGTGAAGGAGAATTTCTATAAGCTTAACGATTCAGAAATCTCACCTACATAACATGCCCATTTGGCTTTGAGCGAGTCTCCACACTCTAAGATATTATTGTTATGCCTAGGGCAGTTATGGGTGGGAGCCTGTCCCCCAATTCAGAGCAACCGGACCCAACAAATGGGAATAGAGAGGGGTTTTGGCCCCCTCTTGTGCGGCCCAGCAAAGTTATAATTCATTTTGTAAGAAAGATTTAAGGAAAAAATATTTAAGGAATTTTTAATTATAATTGAGAGGGAATTATTTAGGCGAAGAAATTTAATTTGAATTCAAAATCTAAGAGGAAATTATTTAAAGGGAAAGGGGGCCAATTTGGGAGGAAATTAGAGGAGTCTTTTTAAGGCTAATTATGTTGTGATTTTGAGGTATGCAAGTTATTTTTCTGCTGTAGCTTTTCTTCTAAGTTTCCTAGTGGCAGCTAGAGTTTGTGTGGCATAAGAGTAATGGGAAGAAGGGACTTCACTATGTCTCTTGGTCTGAGCTCTGTAAACCACGTGAAAATGGCGGGTTAGGATTCCATTCAGCAACTAGAAGAGCAGGACCACTGAAGGCAAGACTGGCTTGGTGGTTTTTAAGCAATACGGAGTCTACTTTGCACAACATTATAACCACAAGATATGGGAATACTTTGTTTGACAGTAGTATCAAACAAGGAGTATCTGATGCATGGAAAATTCTATATGAAGGAGGAAAGTTTTTGAAGCCGTTGTTGAAATGGAGAGTGGCTAATGGGAGAAAGGTAAATGTGCTCAAGGATGTTTGGATACTTGATAGAAGCTTGGGGATGTGGCCTACTTTTGTTGACAGCAAGATTGGAGAATGTTATGCTTGATCATTTCTTATCCCGTAACAGAGAATGGAATGTGGAGAGGCTGCTGGAGGTGTTCAATGAGGATCTCACTTCAATTATCTTACAAATCCAAATTAATCACAATGCTGATGAAGATTATATGGAGGCAATCAAACACTTTTCAGGGAAAACGATTACAGTCATGGCTTATGAAAATAGTATTGATAATGAAAGGGGAGAAGGAGATTTGGGTTTTGCTATGTGGCTCAAAAAAGCTAAACTTCAACCACGTGTGGAGCTGTTTTGGTGGAGGTTGAGTAAGTTTGCAATTTCAACCAATGAATTTCTCCACTACAGAAAACTTACTGACCATGTTCTTTGTGCTCGGGGCTGACAACAAGTGGAAGATATTGAGCATATTATGGTGCACTGTAAATTTTTAAAGGAAATCCTTTTGAAAATTCAAAGCTGGGGATTTAATATTCCAATTTTTTGTTCTCTTGAGGAATGTCTGAAGGAGTTGAGAAGGTTGTCGGCATCAAGGTCCAGCATTGTTAGTGTGTACTGTTCTTCGGTTCACGAATGCCGGAAGGAAAGGAATAGAAAAGTCCATGGCAAGCAAACTATGGGAAGCTCTATGATTGCAGCTAATATTTTGTCTATTGCAATGACAAAAGCTAATCCAATGCTAGATAGCTGGGGTACTAATCTCCCAAGGGAGTCGCAATTGATATGGCACCCTCCACCTCTATATTGGATAAAGGTAAACATTGATGCATCTTTGTTAAAGACTAATAATGCAGGAATTGGTGGTGTCTGCCGTGACTTTAAGGGCAGGTTATTGTTAGCATTTGGGGAGAAAAGAGTTTATTGGGATGTGGCTCAGCTAGAGATGGAGGCTATCATGATGATCCGGAAATACATACAAAGGTGGATGTTAGAAAGCAAATGTATTATAATTGAAGGTGATAATTACAACATATTAAAATGCATTCAAAATTCTTTGAATAAAAATTCGTGGAGGATCAATAACTGGGAGGATAAGGATCTCTTCTTCCTAAACGATTTCAATAAGGTAATTTTTCATCATATCCTTAGAAATTGTAATAAGGTGGCGGATTGTTGTGCTACTTTGGCTATTGAGAACAATTTCTTTTTTGATAATTTTGATTTTGGTGATATTCCTTCTTCCTTATCTAGTTTATTGAAGAAGGAATGTGAACCTTACTTGTAGTTTGTAATAGTTTTTTGTTTACCTTTTAATGCATTTTGCAATTCTAAAAAAAAAAAAAAAAACTAGGGTTTGTGGGAGAGCTGATCTACCTCTCGAATAGTAGATCATTGTATTTTCTTTCTTGTGAAATGACAATAAAAAATCAGTCCTTATCTTCATGTTCCTAAAGTTTTGTATTTGCTATCTTGCTTTTTTTTTTACTTCCAAGATGCATCAAATTGACATTAAGCGAGCTTCGTTGGAAAGATGACAGCAAAGAAGGTGGATGCTTTGGAAGGCGAGATGGAGCAATTCAAATTCGGCGTGGAGGAGAAATTCTTAACCATGGAAGATAGGTTTTCATCTATGAAAAATTGGTTTGCATGGTGGGAAGGAATGATAAGGAAGCTCATGGATATGCAATCCAAAACTCCAATGGTTGTTCCGATTACCAACCTCAACCCATAATCGACTGAAATTTCCTTGGCCGAAACTAAGGGAAAAGAGATCAAACGGGAAGAGTTCAATGAAGAGAGTTCCTTTCATCAAAAGCCACCTCCTAGGGCTCCGATAAGGGGCAGAATAAGGAGTTCGAATGGGGGGAGGCATAGAGTTTTATGGTGGAGGTGGAAGGGTGATCGATCACTATAGGAGGCCGTTTGGACAAGGGGAGTAGATAATTGGAGAAGGAGGTGGACGAACTAAGCCATAGGGATCGGATCAAGGGAGGAAGATGGAAGAAGGTGAGAGTCCCACCCTCAATACACGGGGACCACCCATTGGCAGGAGAAGAAGTTGGGGTCTAAAGGCTAGAGTGAGGAAGTTAAAGATGCCGGTGGTCGAAGTAGAGGATGCCCATAGGTGAGTATACCAGGTTGAGAGATATGTTACGGTTAATGGGTTGAGAGAGGATGAGAAGTTTACAACTACAGAGTTATGTTTGGAGGGAAAAGCTCTTGCTTGGTTCCAATGGAAGGAAGCAAAATATTTGATCCGTTTGTAGGAGGAGTTTAAGGATTACATTACTGGAACGTTTCCAAGCCATTCATGAAGAATACCTACACGAGCAATTCTTTATCTTCATTTAGGAGAGGCTTGAAATGGATTACAGAAAGAAATTCGAGTTGTTGTCGGGATGGTTAAGGGGAATTGCGTAGGCGGTCTAAGAGGGGACTTTCATGAAGGGTCTCAAGCCCGACATACAAGCAAACCTCTGATTGCTGAGGTCGAGTTAACCCAGATTGCAGAGGATAGAAGACAAATGGAGAGGACCTGTAAGAGAAGGTTGCAGGAGGCTCTTACAGAAGTAACTCAACTTTCAACTTCCCTATCATAGAGGACCCCAAAAAGTGTCATTTTAGCAGGAGGCACCAAGGGAGAAGAGTGGGGAAGTTCGCCCAAGGGCCAACTTCAAGTGCCTCATAGAAGCAAAGGTGCAGGATAAGAGAGTGAAAGGTCTATGATTTCGTTGTGATGAGAAGTATACACCAGGCTATCGGTGCAAGGATCGTACACTCCAAGTCCTTATGGTTTATGAGGAGACTAATGGTGAGGATCTAGTGGAGGAAATAGAAGAATGAGAGAAGCACTTACACCTAGATGTAGCGTAAGTGTCCCTAAATTCAGTTGTGGGATTTACTACAAGTCACGCCATAAAAGTGAGGGGCCAGATCAAGGAGCAGCCAGTGGTGGTCTTGGTGGATAAGAAGGCTACTCATAATTTAATCTCAAATTGGGTTATGGACCAATTGGGATTGAAGTTAATGGATACATGGAGCTTTGGAGTTATGAAGGGAACAAGAAAGGTGGAGAGGAGTAGGATGATATGCAAGGGGTTGGTGATAACACTCCATGATATACAAGTAGTGGAGGATCTTCTTCCCTAGAATTTAGGGAGCACTGATATGATTTAGGAATGAAGTGGTTACAGACAATTAGGGAGACGAAGGTGGATTGAAAATCTCGGACTATGGAGAATAAGGTGGAAGGGGAAGCTGGTGTTGCAAGGAGAAGACAGCCTGTGCAGAACCATGGTTTCACTCAAAAACATGGTTAGGATGATATAGGGAGTAGGGTTGGGCTACTTGGTAGAGTTGTAGAACCTAGAGGAGGTCTGAGACTCAAAGCCGATCGAGGTCCTTGATTATGTATAATAGCTTATGCAGCAGTTCTCTAAGGTCTTTCAACAGCCTAACGAGTAACTGTCACCCCGAGAGCATGAGCACGTCATTACTTTAAAGGAGGCGCATCTCCTATCAGTGTCAAACCATATTGGTACCCACAGATTCAGAATGATGAGATAGATAAGCTTATCAGAAAGATGATTGAGGCAGGAATTATCAGACCCATGTGAGCCCTTTCTCCGACCCCACGTTACTGGTGAGAAAGAAAGATAACAGTTGGAGATTTTGCGTGGATTACAGGGCCCTGAATAAAAAAACTGCGCTGGACAAGTTTCCTATCCCC